CCCAGGCGCGCTTCAGGCAGAGCAAGCACGACGGTGCCGTGGAGCATAGATCTGTGTCTGAAAAGGGCCCGATAGTAAATACCTGTGCAAAGCGTATGATTTCTGTCACAGCTCTACCTACTCAACTCCGCGACTGTAGGGCAAGAGAGCGCCATTGACAGTATGTAAACTAATGGGCGTGGCTGCGTTCTCATAAGACTTTATTTAGAAATACAGGCTGCGGGCCTTGTGTAGTTAGTTTGCTGATCTCTTGCACATAGAAATAAGGCAACTTTGCATTTTCTGCAGCAGACTAGCTTCCAAAGGAAGAAGAAAGGCTGAGCTTAATTCTGTGAACCAAGGTTTCCCCCCCACCCCAAAAAATGTATTCACCAGATAAATCAGCAGAATTAGAGTGAGTAAAGGGAGTGAAAGAAGCGTGGAATTATACTAACGAATTCTCTTTATAACAAATGGGAAAGTTTTCCTCTGATCTTTACACGCATGCTCTTTTTCAGTGGGTGCACAAGAAGCTCTTAGTCATAAAGTATCACTTCGTACTGAATGTTCCAACTTCGAGAGTCTTGGTGTTTCATTGTTAATTTTGGCATAGTTTCTCATGGCAGTCTATTTTTGGCTAGTGATAGAAAAAACATGTGAGCTCACAGGAGGGCTCTCATCTTCCTGCCGCACATGTCAACGTGAGGACATGTCTTCAGCTCACTTAAGATAGCTCAGATGACTCTGTTGATTGATTCATATTTATCGAGTGCCTACAAAGTGCCAGGCATTTTAGTAAATGCTGGGGGTCTAAGAGTGACACGGTTGCTGCCCTCACAGGAGCTGGTGTCCTGTAACGGGAAGGGATTTGAGAAGAGAAAGTGATCTCTATGCTGAAACCTGAAGGAGGAGCTGGAGGTGGCCAGGTGACAGAGATGGGGAAGAAGAGCATTCAGTAGAATGAACCGCACAGGCCGAAAGGGGCGGAGTCCTCGGAGGCAGCGTCTTGACTAGAGCGGCGTGTAAAGAGATGATGGAGACAGATGGGGCTGGGAAGGGAAGAGGAGCGCAGAGCTGCAGGACCTCACGGAGGAGGAGCCAGAGGGCTTTTTAAGCCACAGGGTGATGGGGCAGCTTGCTTTTTTGAATATGTCGGATCTAGATTAGAGGCGAAGATTGAAGCCATATACCTGTGCTGTCCAACACGGTAGCCATGAACCGCATGTGGCTGCGGAGTATTTAAAATGGGGCCGGGTTGGCTGAGGAACTGAATTTTAAATTTTCTTTAATTTTACTTTAAAAAGCGAAGCAATAGAAAATATTTTTCCTGTATTTTTTGGTAGGACTCCTTTAACACTTAAGCTGTGGAAAACTTAATGTCTACATTGAGTCATGCTGTAGGTGTAAAATACACACTGTAGGATATCTCAGCAATTTTTTTTTATTGATTACATGTTGAAATGATAATCTCTTAGATATACTCGGTTAAGTAGAATACGTTATTTAAAAATTTTTTACCTGTCTCTTTACCTTTTTAAATGTGGTGTTGAGAAAAACTAAAATTCCATACAAGGCTAGCGTCCTGTATCTTTTGGCCCAGTATGGCCGGAGGTCAGGCTGACGATTTGCAGGACCCCAGTGAGAGATGGTGACAGTCTGAGTTAGGGTGGTGGCAGCAGGGTACGATGGATAGATTCGAGAGCTAATAAGGAGAGCGAGAGGATTTGGCATTTGATTAAATAGAGAGGTGGCAAATTAGTCAAAAGGAATAAAAAGGGAGCCTCCAAGAACTGAAATAAGGAAATGTATATTGGCTGATAGCAAATTAAATGCATGCTGTGTATCATTGACAATTGAAATAAAACTATGTAGTTAAAATAGTATCTCCCACTGTCAGAGTTTTTAGCTTTTTAAATGTTTCCTGTTTAGTAGATACTACCTAGGAATTGGTTCCGTAGAGTTACATAAGTTTGCATTTCTTAGATTGTAGCCAAACATTAAATTTCACAATATAACAGTTTTGCCATTTTTATATCCTTGCCATTTATGTCCTTCAATCAATTACCAAGTGGTAAGTAAGTAGGATATAAATTCTCTAAATATCCTCAACCTTGATATGGTAATTGAAATTTATTTACACTGTTTCTTTAAGATTTAGTTTATTCTTATTTAAAAGAATCAGCACTTTTATTTACATACAGAGGTTGACTAGACCCTCTCTAATTTAAAGTTGGAGCCCTACAGTTATCTGATGAGTGTTAAACATTTAATACTTTTCCTGTTGTCCTCCTACGAAATAGGTTGCATTTCCAGCTTCGTTTTCCAGTCTCTTAAGCATCTGAAAGTAGTCGAGACAGTTTGTTGACCCCAAAGAGACCTTTTAGTCTCTGGCTTGTTAGACAACAGGGTCTGTGCTCTTCATTGGCATTCAGATCACAGGCGGCCACTGGGCTCAGTGCACAGCCGGGCACAGCTTTAGGATTTAGACAAAGCCACTCTGGCAAAGGAACCCAGTTGTCAGGGTAGCTGGCTGTATTGTAAAGAACTGTTGCATAATGGGGAGACCAAGTAGAACTATTAGGATGCAAATGTGAAAAAAATGGTGGAGCTAACCTGCAAAAACAAACATTTCTTTTTTAGTGAAGAGTGTATTCATTATGCTTTCTTCTGTTTAACTTCTCTGGGCTATAGAGGTAGTTGGTGCAATTCGAGTATATTAGTTTATCTTAATCTTTGGTCATAATGCTACTCTATATTATTTTTAAATGAACAACTCATTTGTATGAAGAGACCAAAGTACTTAAGTGTTTTGGAATCTTTTTTTTTTTTTCCTCATAACTTACAAGCGTGCCCTACTTTAGCCTAGATCAGTTTTTATGTGTGATTTTTACTCTCAGATTAGGATGTGGAATCTTTTTTCGTCTTTGATTTTTATTTCATCTGATTTATAGCAAGATTGACACCCAGTGACTTCTGCAGTGGACTCTAATTGTTGTCTTATTTGCTGTAGAGTCTTTGTAGGCTCAAGAGGAAAGTATTGAAATCCTTAAAACAGGAGTTCAGTTTTATTTTACTGTCTTATTAAGGAAATCTCCCCTCTCCCTTGTCTCTCTCATTCTGTTCATTCCTGTCTTAAGTGCCCGCTTTTCCTTTTGCCACCTACTTCTTTCTTCAGTTTTAGTTTTCTCTTTCTACTTTTCATCTTCCTTAGCAAATATGATGGAATCCACACGTATGGTAAGTGCTGTGGTAGAGAAAGAAATACAATAATAAATATGAGAAAGGGGCTCTTAACCCAGATTGAGGGGTCAGGGAGTAACCAGGATAGCTGTGCCGTGAGCAGTTTCTGCTTGCCAAGCAGCATTTTAGGTGTTTCACGTGATTTAACACATTTAATTCTCACAGCAGTCTTAGGAGGTAAGCACTGTTATGCCCATTTTGCAGATTATTATTTGTCTTGAGGCCCAGAGAGATGGTGACTCGTGTAAGCACACACCATCCTGGATGCAACAGAGTCAGGAACGGCTTTCTCGAGGTTGAGAAGGTAAAGCTGAGACCTAAAGGAAGAGTAGGAGCTACCTGTTACCATGTGCAGGGAAGCGGGTTACTAGAGAGGGACCAGCAAACGGTGACAGAATGGAATCTGTCACTTTTCTACTGGGGAAAGTGGTTCTGTAGTGCTGGAGGTGGTCTGTGAAGCAGGGGCTGGTGAGAAATGATGCTGGAGAGAACTACTGTGTGTTCGGATAATATTTTACGTACGCTAGTTGAGTGTGCCACAGTTCATGTACTCAGCAAGTGTCTGTGCGTGTCCAAAGTGCCAGTTCCATGGGGGTCATCTGTCAGGGAGGTGGAAAGAAGTGCCGAACGTGGGTCGCCTCCATCTGATGGAATCTGATGAACTTTGAGGTTTTTTTTAAAAAACAGATGAATTGTGAGCAAAGTCTTCGTGCCTCTCTCAGTTTTATTTTGTTTAAACTGGTGTATGCCTTGACTTTCTCATTTTGAAGTTAGGCTTCCTTTTTTTTTTTTTCTTTCTTTTCTTTTTTTTTAATTTTAGCACTAAGCACTTTCCAAGATCCCAAATTTCTTTAAGATTCTACCACTCGAGTCTTCATTCTTGTTTTGTTTTGCTTTTGAAATATCTTTAAGAACAAAGTTGCTCTACAGCTGGTGTTTTCCTGACTTTTAAATCTTTATTTTCTTGCTATTCATGCTTTTTGTTTTCTTCCAGGACTGTGCTTCTCTCAGCCTCCTTTAGTACTTTTCATTTCTAGTAGATTTCATTAACATCGGGCATCAAGAGCAGCCATTTGAGGCCTTTTGTTTTTTCCTTAACCTCTGCTTTTTTATTGAACCTGAACTTTGATCGTTATAGTTGGTCATGATTAGTGATTGTAATTTCTAACATATTGATCACTCACTGCAGTATGTGCCAGGCACTGTGCTGATTGCTTTATATATATTATGTCAGTTTTGTAACAGCTTTCCGTGGTGGGCCTTATTATATTATTGTCCGATTTTATGGTGAAAAAAAAAATGAAGCTTCAGAGGGATTAACTTTATCTAGGTCACACTGATAGTAAATCGGAATGTCAGAATTTGAACCCAGGCATCTGACTGCAGAGCACACACTTTAACCCTCACCTCAAGCCTTCTGTCTGGTACTTGCATTTTTTAATGTTTACAGATATGTGTTTTTGAACTCAATTTGTAGCAGATAATTTAGGCTAAATATAACCAAAGCTAAATGTATCCTCCCCCACCCCCCAAATGACCTACTACTGTATACTTAATATTTACTTAGGACGTATTTTGCATTTATCACTAGCAAAAAAATAATTTCACATTTTAATAATAAATGGTTTATTTTCAACCTCAGATTCATTCTGCCATTCTACTTATTTCCCATGGCACCACCTTAGGTGCTTGTCATTCCCAGGTACTTGTAAAACATGGCCCTTTGGTTTGGATTTAGTTTTACGTATATGATTGTGTAAAACATGTATTTCCTTCTGCAGCTCAGTCTAATTGAAAAGGATAGAAACAGCTGGAAAAACCAATGGCAGCGTTAACGATGACAGTGACTGCAGTGACGACGATGCAGATAAGAATACTTAGCCGCTCAGATGCTGGTTTGTTACTAGGTCTTCTACAGTCGTCCCTAATAATGAAGAAAAATGGTGAAAAATGTTAGGAAGTGGAACAAATTTTTTTTCCAGCTGTAAAGTAATATTACTAATTATTTTCAGTATGAATAGCCTGTTAAAGTTTCAAATACCTTACTAAAGTGATTTTAAAAGTATTTTAAAATAATGTAGTAATGCAACTGACTTTTTTATAGGTCACATTTAAAAAATAATCAGTATTCTGGCATTTCAGTTTGTTTGCCGACTTCATTTATGCGCTCATTCACCCACTCTTTCATTCATTCATTCGTTCATGAATTCTTTATTGGTCACCTACTTCTTGTTTACTGGCAGTGCCATCCGGGTGCAGGGGATGTGCTGGTACATGGGGCTGGCAGTCTCTGCAGCTCAGACTTGACATTGCGTTTATTTTGGATTTTAGGAGGATCATCCCAGCCAGATTTTTCCTATTGAGAAGTCCCGCCATATTTGACTTTCGTGCTGCTTTGGGCTTTGTATTAACACGTTTGAAAATCCTGACTTTAGATTTATGCTTATAGTTAAATGGATGTTGATTTATTTACTGTGTATTTTGATAATGGTTAGCCTTTTGTTGTTGGCATTCTGAAGTTTCCTTTTTTCCCCACAGTATTATGTTTTTGTGCTTTATCCATGCTGTGTAGTTATAGCTATAGCTATTAGTAGGTCATGCCTTTTAACTGCTGTGTAGTATTCCACTTGAGTAAATAGCACTACATTTTACTTATTCTTTAGTTGCGAGCTTTTAGCATGTTTCCCCCTTCTATTTAATCAAAACTACAATAATTTGAGTCTCTTCTGAGTCAAAACTTTAAACAGCTTTTGAAAAAGAACTATCTTTTGTCTCATTAATACATGTTTTAGAACAGAAGTTTTGAGTTTTGCCTTTAGTATTTTCGATTAGGCTGGTTCCCAAAAGATTCTGGTTAAATTAGTTTAAATGGACTCTGGTCTGCCCTCTTTCCTGCCTTAAGAGTGAAAGCCCTGAAATGGTCACTTTACCTGGAGCGGGTGAGTTGGCTCAGCGCAGTACTGAACAGGTAAATGTAAACAAAGTGTAGGAAAGCAGCTAATTATAGTAATTGCAGCTGGTTTCAAAGTACTTCTAACAGTTTGTGCATAATGCTTACTTGAAAGCATCAAATGGGTGCTAGTTGTGAAATAGAACACCTGTTTGTTGTTGAGCATGTGTTTATGCAGATGATTGTTGTTGTCAAAGCACCTTGATGTAGAGTAGTCCTGTTTACATTTACATTCTCCCCAAAGGATTAACAGTGTTCTCTCAATAAATTTGCAGTCTATTCTCCTCTCAAAGGCTGCTGTTTGGAGGGTGGTGTGAAAGAGGCAACAAGTTCTTGCTAATCACTTGAATATACATAATTAGCTACAGTCTGGTGCACTGGATTCTTTGTAGAACCATTACAATACTGATTGGCAGAGCACATGACAATAGATGTGTTACCATATAGTTGTCGAGGGTACTTGTTTGTTCATTGGTATGTACTCTTTATTTTTCTGAACTTGAGTTAAGTTTTTATTATCAGTACACTAACCGTGTTGTTCTTTTTAGTGAACCAGTGTCAGTAATTCAGTACTCTTTAAATTTACCACTAAGTAGTAGTGCTGCGAATTTCTACATCATCTAGAATCTGAGATTATTATTTAAGACACTTTTGACATAGTAATTTCAGAGACTGAGAAAATTCAATAGCTAAAATTAGATAGCTAAACTCAATCCACTTTGGAGGATTTTTAGACCAATTAAGAAATATAAGTTTGAGATGAATACACCTATCCTATAAGCAAAACGAGAAAATACCTTCTCTTATTTCCTATTGTCCTAGCTCTGCCTCACACTGTTGAATAACTCTGTTGTAGGAATGTTTAGATCTCAAACTTTTGCATCTTGAAATGTGGATGCAAATGAGGGTCACAGGCATTTCAGATAGCTTCCCATAACGGCCATTGGGCCGTGGTAATTGTTTTCATTTCCCACTCCCCAGCGCGCTCAGACCTGCTCGGGTTATTCCTATAAAGTCGTGGACAGATGGTCACAGCGTTCCAGAGGTCTAAGTATGCTTTTCCTCCTTCCAGAAAATATTCTGATGGCACCATCAGACTTCAGATACTCTGATTTAGAAGTGTTAAGAAAGAAGACACTTTCTATATGAATTGGAAAGGAAGTGTGTTAACTTTATCTCCTCAGGAGGTTATACTGTTGGCCTGTTTGACTGAGAATCCCACATGTGGCTAGCATTCCCTGAAGTCTGACATTTAAGATTATTTTAGGTGGTACAGGGGGAACATTTTAAATTGTGTTAGTTAAGTATTTATTTTTGTATATTAGAAGAATATAACTAATCCATCAATCCTGTTCTTTCACGGTATGGACATCAACACGGACTACACCCCATTGAGAACAAATAGACAGTTAATTTAGAGCTTGCATAGCCAGGGAGTCAGCCACCTTAACTTACACGTGGCTGATCCTCAGGGCAGGCAGAGGGGTCAGAAAGCTTTATAGTAAAAACCCCGGGGAAAGGCTTCAGGTGTGCTCCGATGCGAGTCTCAGCGTGGGGAGGCTGGAGGAGGGCATCTCTGTGATTGCTTTGGGGATCGTACTTAGCCTTGTCTGGTTGGTCTGAATTGGAAATGGGCAGATTTCGGGAACCGGTCGTCACTGACCAAATCCTGACTGTTCTGGGCAGTTTGCTGCGCATCCTGTGATGTGGGCTTCCTGGGCTGATTGCCAGGGTCAAAGTTTCATTGTCATGGACAGTCTGGCCATCGTCTGTTTCCCTGTCCGGCCTTTCAGTGGGTAGTTGTGACAGTCAGACTAAAGCTATTTAGGGGGGAAAAAAATGTAAACCTATATGAAGAAGAATATTAAAAAGATAATACCAATAGTATGTGAGATGACCCATGGTGAAGGTGGTAAGTGAATGAAATTGAGGAAGAAAACTAACAATTGGAAAATTTTAATTATGTATCAGGGTATTTACTGTTTTTTATATTTTATTTCATTTCATCCTCTTAAGAGCTCTACCGATAGAATATTAAAATTCTGAAATTAAAAGTGAAGATGAGGTTAGCGAAGTGCACGGTCCAGGGCTGCACAGCGGGTCAACAGAGAGGCCAGGGTTCCATCCCAGAGCTTTCTCACGTGACAGTTACTCTAAAAAGAGGCGCGACCCCTCAGTTGACACGCGTGATCTTTCCGCGAGCTGAGAGATTTGACTACGTGAATGTTATCTTTCAGTGTTTTACTTACAGTGCCTTCCTTTTTTTCCTCCTCATGGAATATTCTTTTTAGATTAAGGGGGAGGGGCTGAAAATAATTTATCTGTTGTCGTATAGAAGTGCACGCCTGCCAGTTTCTGGGTCCGCGGCCACGTGCACCCTCGTTCGAAGCTGCCCTGGGCTCAGTGGCCGCTGTCGCCCTGCTGCCACCGTCCGGTGAGAGGGCCTTGGCTTCCTCCCTTTTCTTCCTACCTTTTCTTCCCGCTCCCTCAGTTCTGTTGCTGTATCAGGCACACGTTCTCTAAGTTCTCGTCCCCTGTTCTCGTGGTCTCACCATCGGGGACCTCGTCATGCCGTCTGACTGAAAAGCGCACGCGCGTGGGCCGCTGCAACGCGGTACTGCGTGCCCTGCTTCAGTTCAGCTTGTGGTGCTGCTTTCAATGTCTCAGACACTTACATGTCAAAAGTTTTGTTGTAAACAAAAATAATCCAAAGATATTTTTGAAACATAAAAAAATTTAATGCTCTTCGGAAGGAGTAAATGAGAGGAGACTTGGAAAATACAGGCAAGAAATTATTTTATGCTAGTATTTAAAATGACCCATTCTTATTAGGGGAAAATTCAAAATATATATAAAGAACAAAATTATAATTTTTGATAGTTTTACTATCCAGAAATGAGTCATTAATAGTTTGTGTTTTCTTCATCTTTCGTCTTTGAACATATTTGTATGTATTTGAAATCCAACATTTGAAATTTTGTACCTACTTTTTTCTATTAGTGCTATAAACATTCCCATGTCATTAAGAACTTTTCATAAGCATTTTATACTATAATTTACCTACCAATTCTTCTTAATCATTAGATAGTTAAAATACATTTTGGATTTTTTTTAAATTAAAAATTATTGTCAATTACAGTTGACATTCAATATCATATTAGTTTTAGGTGTGCAGCTTAGCAGTTAGACATTGATGTAACTTACGAGATGATCCTGATAAGTCTAGTACCCCCGCCAACACCGTGCATAGTTATTACAGTATTATTGATTATATTCCCCATGCTGTACTTTTTATACATTTTGGATTTTTTTTAAATTAAAAATTATTGTCAATTACAGTTGACATTCAATATCATATTAGTTTTAGGTGTGCAGCTTAGCAGTTAGACATTGATGTAACTTACGAGATGATCCTGATAAGTCTAGTACCCCCGCCAACACCGTGCATAGTTATTACAGTATTATTGATTATATTCCCTATGCTGTATGTACTTTTCGTCCTTGTGATGATTTCGTAACTGCCAATTTGAACTTCTTAATCCCTTTACCTTTTTCACTCAGAGAGTGTGTGTGTGATGAGGATTTGTATAAGGATTATGATAACAATAGTAAAGGATTCAAAAAAATCTTAGCGAGCAGATTGTCCGTTGATGCTTTTCAGTGCCCAGTGGTGGGTGTTTGGGACGTGGCTGTCCTGAGCGGTCAGACCAGCTGCCTGGCCAGGTCTGCAGGGTTAGCACAGTGCCGGGAATGTGGACTGTAGGTCGTTCGGAAATTGATAGTTTGTCTTCAGTTTCCAAGTTGTATGTGATTTCTGTTAAGTTATTAATGTCATAGGATTACAGCATCTGACTTTAAGCTGTTGGAACGGCAACTTTTCACTTACTTTAGAGAGATGTAGCTGAGCGTC